AAAGCCGAAGCTAAAGCGAAGGTCTTGAAAGCCAAGAAGGCAGTGCTGAAAGGCGTCCACAGCCACAAAAAGAAGAAGATCCGCACATCGCCCACTTTTCGACGGCCCAAGACTCTGCGGCTACGAAGGCAGCCTAAATACCCCCGGAAGAGCGCGCCCAGGAGGAACAAGCTTGACCACTATGCCATCATCAAATTCCCCCTGACCACCGAGTCAGCCATGAAGAAGATAGAAGACAACAACACACTGGTGTTCATTGTGGATGTCAAGGCCAACAAGCACCAGATCAAACAGGCTGTGAAGAAACTCTACGACATTGATGTGGCCAAAGTCAACACCCTCATAAGGCTGGATGGAGAGAAGAAGGCATATGTTCGGTTGGCTCCTGATTATGATGCTCTGGATGTTGCCAACAAAATTGGAATCATCTAAACTGAGCCCAGCCGGCTAATTCTAAATATACACTTTTTCACCTTAAAAAAAAAAAGAATGGAATCTGGATCATTCTTGCAGAGAAGGGCAGGTAAACTGGGGAAGATGGTTATTTAAAATATTGTATTTATCTATGTTGTAACGGGGAGGGGATATGTGTCATGGTAATCCTGTGGGCTCTGGGAACTTCTGAGATTCTCACCTTCTACCATGTTGCTCCCAGGGTCAAACACAGGTCATCAGGTCTGGTGGCAAGTGCCACCTGCCCCATCTCACTGTCTTCAGAGATGGACTTTTTTTTTTTTTTTTTTTTTGAGACAGGATTTCTCTGTGTAACAGCTCTAACTGTCCTGGAACTTGCTTTATAGAGCAGGTTGACCTCAGATTCACAGAGCTCTGCCTGCCTCTGCCTCCCAAGTGCTGAGATTAAAGGTGTGTGCCACCACCGCCCGGCTGGAGATGGACATTTTAAAGGATGCTTTTATTGGGATGGTAGTTACACCGATGAGCACACTTGTCTAAACTAATAAAACACCACGCTAAGTGAAGTCGGCTAGATGCGGAGGGGGCCAAGACTGAGCTGAGCTGTTATCATCTGACTTCACGATGGTTCAGAACAGGATGAGGGAAAAGTTCTGGAAACTAATAGAACAAAAAGTTGCACACATGTTGAAATACTTAATGCCACTGAACTGTTGGCTTAACATTTGTTGAAAGGATATATTAAATTATGTATATTTTGAACAATAATTATCAAGCCAAATGAGCTCATTTTTATTATGTATCACGCCTAAATAAAAGTGCTGAGAATTCAACCCAGGACCTGTAGCGTGAGCCACACCCAAAAAAAACCCAAGTTGTCTTTGCTTTGAACCCTGGCTCTGGTAGATCGCTGGGTGCTTAGGTGCAATCTGATGAGATCGGCTCAGATCTTGCCTTGACTTCTCCATTAGAGGTCGGGGGTGCCTCTCCCTAGAAGGCCGCCAGAGGGAGCCGCCGGGCAGGAAAGAGAGGCGTCGGGTGGACAGCGACGCCGGGAGCCCGGGCCGGTCATAAGCCTCTCACGTAGGGCGGCTCTCCTCGTCCACTTCGCAGACAAGCGTGCGGAGGCCTGACCCCACCCGGCCTGGCTCCAGCCTCCCCGCGCGGACTTCCTGCCTGGGCGCCGGCCCAGGCCCACCCCCTTCCTGCCCATGCAGCCGGCTCCCTCCGTCGGCTAGCGGGACCCGTCGGTGCACACGCCACATCGAGCTCCGAGTTCCAAGGCAGGTGAGTACGCAGTCCTGGGCTCTGGAGCCTGAGACGCCTGGGATGAAACTAGGAGCAGAGCCCTGAGCAGAAAGGAGATGGGATGGAGGGTGTGCGAGCCGTCTAAGTGAAAAGAAAAAAGGAGACAGAGACAGACACACAGACGCTCAGAGAGAGGGGGGAGGAAGAGAGGGAGAGACAGAGAGAGAGAGACAGAGACAGAGAGAGACAGAGAGAGAGAATAGGGAAGAGAGGGGAGAGAAAGATCTGCCTAAGTGAAAAGAGAGAAGAGAAAGGAAAGAGCGAGCCGACAGTGAGAGAGAGAGAGAGAGAGGGCGATCCACCTAAGTGGAAAGGAAAGCTACCATGGTTGTGAGGATTAGAAACCCCGGCCAGCATGTTCTCTTTGCCCAGGGGAAGGAAGCCTGGAAGTCCTGGATTCCAGTGTGCAGTACCTTGGTGGTACTGAAGCCCTGAAAGGTTATCCTAAACTTTGCCTTCTCTGCAGCTCTCAATTTCTTCTTTCTGGAAGGCTATGAAAACACGATGCCTGTTTCCTCCTGTAGCTGAGGGAAAGAGACCTGCTCAGTGTTTGTACGTTTGCAAGTCCTTCTCCACCTTGTAGGAGAGAGGTCAGCCATAGGCACCTATGGCCTCTGAAGGCTGTCTGAATGATGTAGGCCATCGTCAGGCAGATGGTGGTCCTGGAGCCTACAAGCCCAAGCTCCAGTAAGGCCCCCCCTCACCTCTCCTCCATATTTCCAGCCTCTAGCCATGGACTCATGACTCCCTGATTTGGTCTTTTAGTAGTGCCTGCTGCCCCAGCTGGGGACTGTGACCCTAGTCCCAAGAGATAGGAACAGCATGTGCTGGCTGAGGTTCCCAGGCTCAGCCAAGCCTCAGCTCCAGGCAGGGCCGGATAAGAGGTCAGTTCTCAACCCCTGCCTATGGTAGGCTTAGAGGAATGGAGGCTGTTCTCCAAACCCAACTCCACCCCAGAGTATAACTGTCTGTGTGTCTACGGGTCGATGGGTGTGGACAGGCCTTCCACCCTCCCAAAAGTCTGCCCCTTTCTGCTCTCCAACAGATGATATCTTCCAAAGTCTGCCACCTTCCTGCTTGCCTTTTTCTTCTCAGAGGGGGTGAAGTAGGAGGGTCGACTTCTTCTCCACTCCACTCCAGCATGCCCTAGCAGACTTTCCCGGGAGAGGAAACCCTCCCCAGGCACCCTGTTCTACCAGCGGAAACCTAGAGAAAGATGGCTGCCACAGCGGCGGTAAAGGGCCTCTCTGAAGAAGTTCCACGAGGCCTCATCCCAGCTTGGTGCAGGGTGGTACCTGCTCCTCACCACCTGTCTGTGTGGGGACAGACAGCAGACAGGCAGGAGGAGAGGGGTAGACAGACACAGACACACAGACTGGTGGGACAAGGCCCAGGGAGAGAACTGTGCATCTAGAAGAGACTGAGAGAAGCCACAGTGGTGGAAGGAGAGGCACACAAGGTGTGCAGGCCTGGGCCAGCCCCTGCTGTGCTCTGGCGGCACCCACCTTCCTAGGACATTTCTTCATCTCTGAAGTAGAAGGCATAATAGCTAAGAGGAGGGAAAGTTCCCCAAGGCTGATGACTAGTGTTACACACCTGCACGTATGCTGAGAAGCAGCCTCAAAGCAGGATCCTGAGTGTGGGCATCTTCCTGTGACTGCCCACACCCACAGAAGGGCATCTGAGACTCAGCCCTGTGTTTGAAGGATCTGTGGCACCAGGATCCAGGCTGAGGACTCACATCTACATGCAAGGCAACTCAGCGCCCTGCATTTCTGTGCTCTCACCAGCCGGGAGCTTGGAGGCCAACCCTGAGTGTGGCAGGTGTGGAGCCGTCTTTACTTTGTGGTGTTAGTCTTTCTGCATTCTGCTTTTTTTCCTCACTGCACTGTCTCTGGGGGGCCTGAGTGGGAGCTGAGGGGAGGCCTCAGAAGAAAAGCCGCAGGGCTCTGTACTCAGTTCCGTGTCCGCCTGCTGTCGGTGCTGACTGAAACGGTGGCAGGCAGCCATGGATAAGCGTCATGAGCAGGCAGGGTAGCTCAGTGGTGTAGCACTTGCCTAGCATGCTCAAGAACCAGGGTTCTACTTCCAGCACCACCAAGCAAGCCCAGACCAGTGAGAGCCCACTGTGGCCCTGGGCTGAGCTGGGAGGAAACATGGGTCCATGCCGATGGATGTTAGAGTGTGTTGTCCAGGGGAGGAAGACTGAGAAAGCGGTGGAGTGGGGAGATGTGTTTGTCACAGAGCCCCTCAGCCCCATCCTAGACTGCAGTGTTCTACTGACAGCCCCTAGAGTAGTCTGGGTTAGAGGGGGGACACAGGTACTGACTTTGGCTAGGTCATCCCCATGTGCGAGGGGGATCATCCCACTTGGAGCCAGGGGGCACAGAAGACTCCTTTGGGCCATGGGAGCCACGGCCATTAAGTCTGCAGGACAGGAGAAAAGGTGAGGCTTGAGTACTGGGAACTTCTTGGCGGAGGCTGCTTCAGGGGGCAACAGGACATTCGGAGGAGGCTTGAGCAGAGATGGTTGCCTGGTGAGAGGCATGTGGGGCTGTTGACTTCAGTGGCTGTCACAGACTGGGTGTGTGGTACAGCTGACCCTCCTGTGACGGAGATGCACAGGAGGCTGTGGGGGCAGTGGCAGAGTAGAGCTGTACTGTGGGGTTTTCTTTGTTATCATTATTGTTAATTGTTACCTGCTCACTCTATATGTAGCTCAGAATAAACTATCCTCCTACCTCAACCCCCTGAGTGTTGGAATTATAAGAAAAAAAAGTCGCCTAGCCCTGCCAGAATTATAATTTCTGAAGGTAATCTCTGGGTGGCAGCAAGGAAGGCAGGCCAGTGGGGAAGCTGCTCTCCAGTCTGGTGACCAAACAGCTCTTAGAAGACCCTCCCTACTTTCTCCTCAGTGAAAAGGTAGCCCAGGTGGTAGTGGGCTGCGGGGACTGGCTTAGGTCATGAGTCAGAATCCCTGCTGGTTCTCTATTTCCTGATGAGTAAACAAGGCCTATAGTAGACTCTCTGGCTGCCGTTTCCTGAGCCAGCAGCAGGCCAGCCTCTCACCCCTGTCCTGCTCCTGTTGCCCCAGCCTCCAGTCGGCCTTGCTCAGGTTTCCTGTTCCTCCATCCGGCAGACATGCAGACATGCCTGGTGTGCTGGAGCCTGGCTTGGCTGGGTTGGGAGGGGCCCTGTGTTTGTGCTTGTGGAGACCTTGGTGTGAGGCGCTGCTGGGCAGGGAGAATGTGGAGGTATGAGCTGGGGTCTCACTCCTGGTTGGGGAGGACTATATCCGTGTGTCTCAGTGGCAAAGGCAGCTCAGGAAAGGGCACAGAGAAACGTGGACTCAAATGCCCATCTCAGCATCAAGCTAAGCTGCATGATAGTGTGGGTGCCCATGCATCTGTCCCTTTTGGGAGGCAAAAGACATTGTGTGGGGGACATAGCACTCAACTGTCCATGACAGCCTTGACAGAAAAAGGAGAGCAGAAGACTTACTGACCAGGCAAGCAACGGAAGGAGAAAGTGCCGATGAAAAGGTGTATAAAAACCATGCCAGGTTTAAACAGTCCTGGTTGTTAGGGAGGCTGATATAGATGGAGGCTCAGGGGTCTCAAGTGACATAACCAAAGTCACACAGCTTGTGACAGGGTCAGGACTAGACACTAGGACTGCAAAATGGGGGAGATTAGGGAGTTGGAGTTGGCACTAATGCTGAGAGAGGGCAGGAATTCAGGGATCCTGCCCTGGTACTGACTCTAGCTTGAAGATGCACCTGGCAGACAGCCGACATTCTGGGGATCAGGTTCCGGCCCTCCCCCTCCCCCAGCACTTTCTTTCTCCCCGTCAGCATTTTCAACCTTGTTTATTCCCGGATCGTCATGGGGTTCTTCAGAAAAAAAGAAAAAGACGAAAAACAAAACAAAACCAACTCCAGTTTTTCCTGGAATGAATGCTAGGGGAATGCATGGGGTCCTGTGGATGTTGGGTACAACTCATGTGGGCGGAGCATGGGTGTCACAACCATTTAGTCTTCACAGCAGCGTGTGCCCCCCCCCCCCCCGAGCTGGGGTAAAAGGGCCAATTTCTGCGTCTTACTTCCATCATTCCCATTTGCTGTTTTCTGGTTAAGGGCGCTCTTCTGTCATCTACCAGCTCCCAGAGGCCCTAGACTCACTTCCTCCTCCCAGAGACTGGGGTACGGCGAGGGTAGAGGGGCTCTTGGAGAGGGAACAGGCCAGGGCCCAGTGGGACTTGGAGGCTGAGAGGCAGGAATGTAGCTTGCAGCCTTGTAGGCAGGAAATGGAGCTGAGCCTGGCCAAGAGCCCAGCAATTTGCATGTGGAGGTGGGAGAGAAAAGTTGTTCGTTTTGACTGCATTTGGAGGGCAGGCGCGCAGTTCCCACGCCTCTGATCTAGTTCTGGTGGCAGCCTTCCCTCCCTTCCCTTCGCTGCTCCAGTCGCTGGCCAGCTCCCCACTCCTATAACCAAAGCTATAAAGATATCAAGCCCCTGGGTTTCTTATTCCCATCCATAAGCAGAACTATTGGGAGGCCTCTGCTGCTGCTGGTGGAGTCTGGATCCCTTTTCTGCCACCACTGACTGTGGGTCTTGGGCTCCTATGTTTACTGAGTCTGCTTCCTCCTCTGCACACTGGATAGCAGCACTTTCCATGATGGAAATCACTCACTCTGCTTGACCCATCTCAGAACAATACAGGGTCACATTTTGCCTGGCTGTGAGGAAAAGTCCTTTGTCAAAACAGAAACTTGGTGGGAGATAAAAGTTGAGCAGAGGGGGCCCAAAAGGGGTCTCCTGGGGCAAGGATCCAGGATTGTAGGACTAAGCCCCTTGATGGGTGTATAGACATAGAGTCTGGGTTCTGCTGGGACTAGAGAGGAGCTGGGGGCTCAGAGGGACAGGCATCAGATGCACCAGTCATCCGTGTAATACCCCTCCCCCGCCGGAAACCAGCTTCAGAGACGTTGAGCTCCTCGTTAGGCCCGCGTTTATTTCTCAGGCTGGGAACGGTCAGGTAAAATCCTTCTGCTTTCTGCTGAAATCCCCTCTCCCCCACCTCCCTTTCCTACTGTCCACCCACTGGTCTCTGCTGACCCCACTTTGGCTTCTAGCCCTAGACAGAGCAGCTGAAGCTTCCTCTGCAATGCGGCCCAACCCTGAAGGTCTTTGGGAGGAGGGAAGGTATAGGCCTTCTCCAGCCAACTAGCATCCCAGCAGAACTGCAGTTAGGCATCTTCCACAATACTGCACCCCTGTTCTGTGCAGGGCTGTCCTGAGCCCCCAGCTGAACTGAACGGGGAGATGGGACAACACCTGATATTTCTGGCCTGGAGGTAAGGGCAGGTGACACTGGGAAGTATTTTATGCAGCCAAAGTACTTTCACCTCAAGCCAGTCTTCCTGCTATGGGCTCCACCCACCAAACCAAGCTAGGAATAGACAGGACAGGGCAGCTCACTGAGGCCCATGGGTGATCTCACAGGTGAGCCTGCATTCTGACTAGACTTGAGATTCTGCAGGAATGGAGTGTGGAACAAACTCAGAGTAGGGATGGAGATGTGGAGAGCCCTGGCTGTGGAACACTCTTGGGGGAGTGGGGAAAGTAGCTTGGACCAGTTTGAACCAACCCTGCTGGTGGGCAGTGAGGAGGGCAAGGCTGGAGGAGACAGTTTGGGTACCGTGAGAGAAGGAACTGACTTTGTAGGGTGGGAACATGTTTGGTGGTACTTACTGGATCAGGTTGTAAGGAGCAGTGGTGCCTCCCTAGGCACAGGGCTTAGCGCTGTTCCCTTGACTCCCATCTCCCCACGGCCACAATGTCAGCCCAGTAGCCAAGCCAGCTAAGTGGGGCCCCGTCACACCTGACAGGATAGCAGAGTGGGGTAGAGCTCCACACTTCCAGCCAGCCAACTGGGTTTCCTCTCTTAAGGATCTAGATCCTGAGCACTGGAATCCCCGGACATCTTCTGGCTTCCCAGGCCCATGCTGGCATCACTGGTGAGTTACCTGGTCAGGTGAGCAGTGGCTAAGAAGACTAGGGGTTCAGTTGGGCCCCTGGGGACGTGTGAGGCGTAGTGTCTCTGACCCCTGGAAGGAGCTGGGCGTTCTTTCTGGGTGGCACGGGGTGAAGAAGATGAAGGGAAAATCTAACTGTTAGGGGTTAAAGCTGGGCATGGGCCACTGCAGGAAACTGGAGTTCAGTTAGGGAAGAAGGTGCCCTGACTGAGCTGAGAGAATCATGATCAGCCAGAATATGTGGGTGGGGGGCCAGGGGTGGGGCTGCAACAAGCATTCCAGAGAATCTCAGGGGTGCAAGGGGCCAGCACCCGTGACCTCTCTTCTCAGGGAAATAATGACAAGCAGATGTAGGTATCTCTGGAGAGCAGAGCAGGGAGCCTGGGCGAACTTTAGAAAGGCACACACAGAGGGGGGCCTGTAGTCGTCAGCTTTTCCTGAGCCTAGGCAGTCAGAGAAGGACTCATCCATGGGGTCCTGCCTCTTCCCACTCTTGGGGTGCGGCCTAGGCTCCTTGAGCTGTCAGAGAAAGGCAGAAATTGACCCTTGGAGCACACCAGTGGCTGTGTGGTCACCCAGCTGCAGCCCTGTTGTCATTCCCCATGGCAAGAGCCTGCTGACAGTACTTCATTGAAGGCTTGGACTCCAATCTGCCCAGTTCCCAGTGGTGGAAACTGGCTCTCAGTGGCTCTGATAGTCCTGTTCTGGCCATTTGAAAGTTCTCTTGGACTGAGCCCAAGTTGGCTTCCCTTAGAACCACCTTCTTGGGCCCCAGTCTCACACTGTGGCCACCTTCCAGGGTCCTTAGTATTCATTTGCTAGGCTAGGGGTGGCCAAGTGACACTGGAAGTTGACATGCAGTGAATGGTACCAGGAGGCTCTAAAAGAGATGAACATATGGCCAGCCAGTGTGTGTGTGAGTTCAAGGGTGGGGTGGCGGTGTGTGGAGTTGTCAGGGAGCAGACAAAAAAGCAAGGTGGTACAGAATTCCAGAAGTAATGAGGGCTGGAGCTGGTGTGTTAGCAAACTGAGCTGAGACCTGGAGCCACGGAAGTGTGCTTAGGAGCACTTTTCTGGGGTTCTGGGGGAGCTGGAGTCCTGCCATGTGGACCAGAGGACCAAGGATGCAGTGGGCTGGTCTCTTCAGCAAGCCTACTGCTTGCATCTTTACAGGTGCGTCCTCTGGGCTGCTGGCTGCTCTTTCCAGTTGCTGTGTGCCCTACTGCAGGCCTCTGCAATGCTGCCACTTCTGCGTCTCCTCCTCCTGGCCTTAGACCTGGGTCTGACTCGACCGCTCAGCTCCAATGATCCCAATGTCTGTACCTTTTGGGAAAGGTGAGAAGGGCCCCAAGCTTGATGCTTGTCCCTGACAAGTGACTCCTCCAAGGAGTCTGTTTCTGGTCTCCCTACCTCTGCCCATGTCTCTGTCTCTATCCTATCTCTGACCTGGATTTTGACCTGTCCTTGTCTCTGGATCCCTGTGGGAGGGAGTCATTTAGTGTAGACCAAGCAGAAGAGATACTGGGGTGCGGGTGGGGAGAAGGTAGGGACAGGACTGGAAAACAGGGCCCAGAAGAGATACTGGGGTGGGGGTGGGGAGAAGGTAGGGACAGGACTGGAAAACAGGGCCCAGAAGAGATACTGGGCTGGGGGTGGGGAGAAGGTAGGGACAGTACTGGAAAACAGGGCCCAGGGCAGACGTCAGCCGAAAGAGCTTCGATTCATTGCTGCCAGCTGGGTCAAGATTGAACAATAAAGTTCAATTTTCCCACATTGGCAGGTGCATGCGTTTGTGCATTTGTGAGAGTGTGTGTGGAGATGCCTGTGGCCCTCAGGATGAGAAATAGTTACATAGGGTGGAGGATCCCCAGCACATTCCAGTTTTAAAAGGCGCCTCTAGACAAGATGGGTGGGGAGTAGGTAAGGAAGCCCAAATACTGGGGCTTTCTGATTCTCTACCTGGGGAAGCCTGGCCTTGGCTCTCAGCTGTACTCTGCCACCTCAGGGTCTGAACTGTTCTAACACATCCACAGCTTCACCACTACCACTAAGGAGTCCCACTTACGCCCCTTCAGCCTGCTGCCCACGGAGTCCTGTGACAGGCCCTGGGAGGACCCCCACACCTGTCCTCAGCCCACGTGAGTGCTTTACCCTTTTAAGAGTCACTAGCTGCTGCTGTTCTTGAAGGAACAATGAGCTGTGACCTGCACATAGAGAGGGCCACAGGGATTTTAAATTTTCACTGAGGGAAAGTGGTATTGGCCCAGAAATGATCTACAGACATTTGAGACAATTGGAGCAAACCTTTGTATCTATCAAACCAATGGACCAACTACCAAATAACCAACCAGTCAACCAAAACAACACCGCTACATCTCAGCAGCAGATGGTATTTTGTTGAAATTCTAATATGAATTCAGACCACGTTCTGAAAGGAAACATTGACTTCCGGCTGTACCATGGCATATGCAATCAAACCAACAATTAGGTCACTTTTTCCACGAAAACTCACATTAAATTTGAATCACTTAAAAAAAAAAGAGTCACTATCTGGTTGAGGTCTGCCCCCTCTCAGAACCTTTGGTGTCCATGGTGGGTACCCATATGGCCTGTGAAGGTGTGGCTGATGTGAGGCAGAGAGGGAACACTCACTTTCTGACCTCCCTGGTGCCTCCCTGAGGTGTGATGGGGGTGGGGGGCAGAGGTGGGGCAGTCAGGGTCTCAGCGAAGAACACTGATGGCCACCACCTCCTGGGCCACTGCAGGGTTGTCTATCGGACCGTGTACCGTCAGGTGGTGAAGACAGACTCCCGCCCACGCCTGCAGTGCTGTGGGGGTTACTATGAGAGCAGTGGAGCCTGTGTTCGTGAGTCTTGAGTTGGGTCAGGGTAGGAACGGACTGTTTGGGTTTTTCACTGCCCTAGTAAGGGGTATGGTGGGTGGGTTGCTACTGTCGGCTCCTTTAGGTTTCCCGCTGGCCGGCAGCTGTTGCTGGAGTTGTAGCAGTCATAGAAGAGGGGCTGGAAGTGGAGACAGGGGAGACTTTGTTATTGTCTCTTCTTCCCTAGCATCTTGTGAGTCTGTCCTCAGATGGACCCCTGCCACCTCCTGACCCTGTCGCCAGCTCTGTCACCAGTCCCTGCAGGCCAGTTTCCCAGCCTGACTTAGCCCTCACCTCAGCCCCTACCCTTTCTGACCACATCTCCATCAACTACCACTTGAGAACTCACCATTTCCCAACAAGATGTTTAAGCATGTATCCAGAAAGGACTCAGGGAGCCTATGACCCTGGGGTTGTTCCCCAGGTCTTCATCTCAGACAGAACTGATGCTTGAGGACCTGCAGGCCCCTCACATGGGAGGCCATGGCTCTGGCTTCCTAGATCAAAGGCAGGAGGGTAGGATGGAGGCATTCTTCTCATTCATCCCATTTCTGGCCAGCCCTCTGTGCCCAGGAGTGTGTCCACGGTCGTTGTGTGGCTCCTAACCGGTGCCAGTGTGCACCAGGCTGGCGGGGTGACGACTGTTCCAGTGGTGAGTTGTTGGTGACTATCCGAGTCCATTGCTGCTACCTGCCTTTTCTGGAGACGGGTGTGTGGAACCCAGAGAGGGGCTAAGTGCCTGGTAACTCCCTTCCATTCTCTGTTCCACAGAGTGTGCCCCAGGGGTGTGGGGACCACGGTGTGACAAGCCCTGCCACTGTGGCAACAGTAGTTCCTGTGATCCCAAGAGTGGGGCATGCTTCTGCCCCTCTGGCCTACAGCCCCCCAACTGCCTTCAGCCTTGCCCTCCTGGCCACTATGGTCCTGCCTGCCAGTTCGGTTGCCATTGCCATGGAGCTTCCTGTGACGCCCAGAATGGAGCCTGCTTCTGCCCCCCAGGGAGAACAGGACCCAGGTGTGTGATGAGGTCATAGACACAGGACCATATATAAGGAAATGGTGGAGTTGAGAGACCAAGATCTCAGTCCTGTTCTTCTGGGTCCCAGCTAAGCAGCTGCCATAATCACAGCAGGAACAAAAGCCGGGGGGGGGGGGATGTCATCAGTGAGGCTGAGTTGAGGACCTGGGCACACCTGCTTGCAAGGCTACATGCAGACAGGGTTGGGGTGTTGATCTCTGCAGAGTAGAAAGGATACAGTCAGAGCAGTTGTCAAGAGGGAGGAGGGGCATAGGAGCCTGCTTGCTGCCACCCCTCCTGCTCTCCCCGTCTGCTGGTATCAGGGTGTCCTTGCCATTTACTGCCCCAGAGATTCCTCCTGTGCAGGTAGCCAGCCTTGGGGAGGAAAGAGGGCCAGCTGAAGATTCTTCCTGATGACACTCTGACCTCACTCCTATTCCACAGCTGTAATGTGCCCTGTTCACAGGGCACTGCTGGCTTCTTCTGCCCCAGAACCAATCCTTGCCAAAATGGAGGTGTTTTCCAGGTCCCCCAAGGCTACTGCAGCTGTCCACCGGGCTGGATGGTATGAAGGGTGAAACTGTGTGTATGGAGTTGGGCTTCCCAAGAGAATAACGAGGGTGGCTCTAGACAGGGCTATGAGCCAGGATTTTTTGAGATGGACTCTCAGGACCCTGTAGAGGTTTGAGGGCTCTGAGCATATGAGGGTTTCTATCAGCCTGTGGCCATGAGAAGAGGATTAATGAGTTTTCACTCACTCACAGGGTGTCATCTGTTCCCTACCCTGCCCCGAGGGTTTCCATGGACCCAACTGTACTCATGAATGTCGCTGCCACAACGGTGGCCTCTGTGATCGGTTTACTGGGCAGTGCCACTGTGCTCCTGGCTATATTGGAGATCGGTGAGCATGTGGCTCCAGGGAACTGGGGTGGACCAGGAGGAGGTGGAGGAGCCCAGTTTATACAGCCGTATTTAACCCGGCACCCAGGTGCCATGAAGAGTGCCCCGTGGGCCGCTTTGGCCAAGACTGTGCTGAGACCTGCGACTGCGCTCCTGGTGCCCGCTGCTTTCCTGTCAATGGCGCTTGTCTGTGTGAACATGGCTTCACAGGCGACCGCTGCACTGAGCGCCTCTGTCCAGATGGCCTCTATGGTCTCAGCTGCCAGGAGCCCTGCACTTGCGACCCAGAACACAGTCTGAGGTGGGCTGTGGGAAACACAGTCAGGGAGACAGGTTCTTGTTTTAGGGCCACCAGAGAAACAGCACCAGGGTATAGGGAAGGGTGGCATCGAAGTCACAGAAGGATCGGGGAGGGGTTTGGGGAGGGAGCAGGAGCGGCGGGCATCGCTCCTTGCCCAGCCTGGCTCTCCGGATTCCACGGAGCCTCTTGGCTCCCTGATCGGGACCTGCAGAAGAAAGGACCTCTGTAATACGGCTCAGATGCTTGTGTCCCCTCCTATGCCCACAGCTGCCACCCTATGCATGGCGAGTGCGCTTGCCAGCCAGGCTGGGCGGGCCTACACTGCAACGAGAGCTGCCCACAGGACACGCACGGGCCAGGCTGCCAGGAGCACTGCCTTTGTCTGCACGGTGGCGTCTGCCTTGCAGACAGCGGCCTCTGCCGGTGCCCACCCGGCTACACGGTGAGGCTGTGCCCCACCAAGGGGAAAAGAGAGGCATGGTGGGGCTCGACCTCCACTCACTCGTGGCCCTCTGCTTTCAGGGACCTCACTGTGCTAACCTATGTCCACCGGACACTTATGGGATCAACTGCTCTTCCCGCTGCTCCTGCGAAAATGCCATCGCCTGCTCCCCCATCGACGGCACGTGCATTTGCAAGGAAGGTAATGGCCTAGGGTCTATGGGAGCGGCAGGTAGGGGTGGGGTGTGAAGAAAGCACTACCAGGGCAAAACTTATTGGAAGTGGGCTTGTGGGAACGGATTCAGGATAGTTCCTGCTAGAACACTTTCGTTCTTTGTCCCTTCTCATCCTCCCTGTCCTGTCCTTCTCCCTTTCCTATACTTTTTTCTTTTTTCTTTTTTTGAGACAAGGTCCAAGCACCCATCCTGTACCAGCCTCTGGAGTGCTGGACTTACAGGTAGAGCCCAAATGCCCTATTCATTTTGTTTTGTTTTGTTTTGTTTTGTTTTGCTACAAACGTCATACTTTCCTTTAAAAGTGTAGACCAAAAGATAGCTCTGTGCCAAACACTTCTCACCCTCCATTCTAAATATTTATTTATTTACTTGTTTATTAATTTATTATGTACACAGTGTTCTGCCTGCATGTACATCTGCAGGCCAGAAGAGGGCACCAGATCTCATTACAGTTGGTTGTGAGCCACCACGTGGTTGCTGGGAATTGAACTCAGGACCTCTGGAAGAACATCCAGTGCTCCTAACCGCTGAGCCATCTCTCCAGCCCAGGGTTCACCCTCCATTCTATAGAAACGAACCCTGACTGTGCCAGCGAGATCTTCCAAAGGCTATCACTGTGGCACGTTGGCAGCCCTTAGGCTGAATTCAAATCCAATGTTATCAGACTTAACCAAGCATCAAGTCTTCAGCCTCCATTTCTTTCTGTTACCCCAAGATGGCCTGGTGGGGTCCACTATGAGCTTGGGTTTGTTACCAGCCTCTGTTCTGTAGGAGAGACAGGAGGCCCAGGTAGGACAGAAGACAGACAGAGGAGGCTCAGGTCGATTATAGGTCATAGGAGGCCCAGGCAATTGAGCTGCATCAGTGGGAGTCTTTGAACTGTTTGTTCATGAGTTTTTCTTATGCCCAGCTCACAACATAAAGCTGGCACAATGCACACCCAGTGTATTCCTTCTTGTCTTCTCTAGGTTGGCAGCATGGTAACTGCTCTGTGCCCTGTCCTCCTGGCACCTGGGGCTTCAGTTGCAATACCAGTTGTCAGTGTGCCCACGAGGGAGTCTGCAGTCCCCAAACTGGAGCTTGTACTTGTCCTCCTGGGTGGCACGGAGCTCACTGCCAGTTTCCCTGCCCGGTGAGTGATCACAGCCCACCTGCCTGGGGGAGGGGAGTGCACAGCACCCCTCAACTGACTGGCCTGTTCTCCCCTCCATTTACTGTCCAAGAAAGGGCAGTTCGGGGACGGTTGTGCCAGTGTCTGTGACTGTGACCATTCTGATGGCTGCGACCCTGTTCATGGACGCTGCCGATGTCAGGCTGGCTGGATGGGTGAGCATGCTGGGTGTCTCGGTCTCAGGTCTGCCATGGAGCTGGGAGTGTACCCCACAGGAGATGACCCTTAGTTGTCTCCCACAGGCACACGCTGCCACCTGCCTTGCCCAGAGGGCTTTTGGGGAGCCAACTGCAGCAATACTTGTACCTGCAAAAATGGGGGTACTTGTGTACCCAAGAATGGCAACTGTGTGTGTGCACCAGGGTTTCGAGGCCCCTCCTGCCAGAAGTGTGAGGCTCCCTGTACCCCACCCCCTCCTGTTAGCAGTTCAGATTCAGGAGCCTGAATCTATCCCTTGGCTTCTGTCTCTGACTCCCATCTCCAGGACACTTAATCCAGGGGAAGGTGGGAGGGGAGACCCTGGTCAAGGCCCCCAAATCACCAGATATCCATTTCCCCAGCCTGCCAGCCTGGTCGCTATGGCAAACGCTGTGTGCCTTGCAAGTGCAACAACCATTCTTCCTGCCACCCTTCGGACGGGACCTGCTACTGCCTGGCAGGCTGGACAGGCTCTGACTGTTCTGAATGTACGTAGCGGCTTGTGTGTGAGCAGGAGTGCTTGCTGCTTGGGTGGCTGAGCCCTGGAACCCCACCTTGGTTATCTGTACAATAGGAGAAATACTGCCATCACCTTCCTACTGGGAACTGGTTTGGGTGGAGGACGCAGCAGTGAACAAGTCAGAGGGAAACTTTTCTGCCTTTCCAGAACCTGGGAAGAGCAGGGCACTGATGGAACAGCAAATCTCAAAGAGTCCCCTAATATGTCTTTCTCCTACACAAATGTTCATTCCTTTTCTATAACCCACCGAGTCTAGCTTGTTTGCCTGTGTGGGTCTCCTTCCCCCAGCAGCCATGGCTGTTTTCTATCTTTCTCACATTGTTTATTGTGCCATCTCCCGCATAACTGTATGATGATAAAGAGATGAGTAGTCTAGGCAGCAGAAGCTAGAGGGGAAGCTGCTGCCCAGAGATGGCTGACTGTACTTCTGCTGTCGGGGCACAAAGGAAGTGCTCTTGGTGAAGTATTTGGATTGTTGCTGTTTGTGTTTTCTGCCTAGAATCCAGTAGTGCCTACTACTAGATGATTTGCTAGGATCACACAGAGATAATGTGTTAAGCTGTAATCCCAATACCCTGGCAGGAGGCAGATGTTTTAAAACAGAAAAAACAAGCCTAGTGCTATGCCCTCCAGGGGCTGTGAGAAGCTTCTGGTTTCTGAGCACTGGGGACATTATTCTGAAATGGCTGTTAGGAGTCAAGAGCAGATAGCAAGTGGGTAGTGGGTCAGGATAGCCAGATGTGTAGATGCCCTTCAGAGCCTTAGTACCCCCAGGAAAAGGTCAAGGTCAAGACTGCAGAGACACCGAGGGCTGAGCGTTCATGCAGAGGGGCTGGCTTGGCCCTGCCTGACATCCCTTGTCTCCTGCAGCATGTCCCCCAGGCCACTGGGGACTTAAATGCTCCCAAGCCTGTCAGTGTCATCATGGTGGAACCTGCCACCCCCAGGATGGGAGCTGTGCCTGCACTCCAGGCTGGACTGGACCCTACTGCTTGGAAGGTACTGATAGAGAGCTAACTCCCTGAATGCACCATAGCCCTTAGCCAGAGGAGGCTGCATTTGCTGGCTCTGTGACCCCTGCTTGCCTCCTTGGTTCTCTCCAGGCTGTCCACCAGGACTATTTGGTGTCAACTGCTCCCAGCTATGCCAGTGTGGTCCTGGAGAGAGGTGTCACCCAGAGACTGGGGCCTGTGTCTGTCCCCCAGGACACAGTGGGGCACCCTGCAAGATTGGTAAGTTCTTGGACTCCAAGGTTCTATGACCCAGGGTCCTCATACCATCTCTTTCTTCATTCAGATGCACCCATGTTCACTAGTAGAGCCAAGGTGCTAGTCTCAGTGCCTACTTTATCTCACAGGAAGCCAGGAGTCCTCCACCGTAATGCCCACCTCTCCCGTGACCCATAACTCACTGGGTGCAGTGATTGGCATTGCAGTACTGGGGACCCTTGTGGTGACCCTGGTAGCACTGTTCATTGGCTACCGCCATTGGCAAAAGGGAAAAGAACATGAGCACTTGGCAGTGGCTTACAGCTCTGGGCGGTTGGATGGCTCAGATTACGTCATGCCAGGTGAGCTAGGGTCGGGCTTAAGTGCTAGGCAGTGGGGTGCTGCTGCCTGTTCCCCATGGGATGTGGGGTGGAAGGATGGAGGGAGTCAGGAGGTCACACTCCTGCTGTCCTGGCCTATGATGTTTGTCCTGCAGATGTCTCTCCGAGCTACAGTCACTACTATTCCAACCCTAGCTACCACACACTGTCCCAGTGTTCTCCTAACCCCCCACCCCCTAACAAGGTCAGTGCATTGAGGGGTGTGCTCTGGAGGTGGGCGAAAGCCTCAACCCTGTGCTCTCCCTGAGGCATTTGTCCCTTATCAGGTTCCAGGCAGTCAGCCCTTTGCCAGCTCCCAGGCATCTGAGCGACCAGGCAGAACCCATGGACGTGATAACCATGCTACACTGCCTGCTGACTGGAAGCACCGACGAGAGCCCCACGACAGAGGTAAGTGCTTGGAGACAGAGACTGAGGCGGTGAATGTGTGCAGTCTCACCTGCTGGATCATCTTGGTGGGGTCGGGGTGGGGAAGAGCTGAGATCCAGAAGATGCCTGGGAAGGGACCAGAGGTCTGACTTTTGTTTGACTTTCCTCAGGCCCCAGCCACCTGGACCGAAGCTATAGCTGTAGCTATAGCCACAGGAACGGCCCAGGACTATTTTGTCCTAAAGGTATGAGCACAGAGACAAGGAAGGGAAGGGAAGCTGGGTCAAGGAGCCAGTACCTCTAAGAAGCCTGATGTCCTTCCTTGATCCTTAGGTCCCACCTCGGAAGAGGGGCTGGGGGCAAGTGTTATGTCCCTGAGCAGTGAGAACCCCTATGCTACCATCAGAGATCTGCCTGGCCTTCCTGGGGAACCTCGAGAAAGCAGCTATGTGGAGATGAAAGGCCCCCCATCAGTGTCTCCTCCCAGGCAGCCCCTTCATCTCCGGGACCGCCAGCAGCGGCAACAGCAGCCACAGAGAGACAGTGGCACCTATGAGCAGCCCAGCCTCTTGAGCCATAGTGAGCCCTCCCTGCCCCCAGCAGGGGCTACAGGAAGGGAGGAGGGAAAGGGAGAGAAGGAGGTAATGGCACGATATGGCAAGAGCAAGGCCTTTGGGTGGTTTGGCCTCAAACCAGGTATGGCACTCGGCGAGTTGCCCTGCTTCTTCGAGTCTGTTCCTCACCTGGAGGTTGAGTATTTGAGATGGTGCTTGTATAGCACCAGAGAGGTAGAATTAGCATCCAAAGAAGTGAGACTGAGCTGTGGGACAGTGTCTTCATATCCTTTGAGGTGGACAGGGTAGGGAGAGCCCGCAGTAGGAGAGCCAGGGAATGCCTCAGGGAGTTACCTCATCCTTTCCTCTCTGTCTTCAGATGAAGAGTCTGTGGGCTCCATGCCCCCTCTTCCTCCAGGCCTGCCTCCTGGCCACTATGACTCACCCAAGAACAGCCACATCCCTGGACACTATGACTTACCTCCGGTACGGCATCCTCCATCACCTCCACCTCGGCGCCAGGACCGCTGAAAAGTCAGCACTGCATGGGACAGTGCCTGTATATCCTGCCAGAAGAAGGACTGGGCTGGCAGGCTACGAACAAGCACATTTGATGAAGTGAACAGAGAGACTGAAGTCAGCCTTCAGCTTCCACCAAGGGAGACACAAGCTGACAAACTGTCTAACTCCCTTTTCCCTTCCCACAGTTCCTTGAATCCCCAAGGCTCTGTGGACATCATTGGTGGCCTGAATGTTGTCATATAGTGTCTGATTTCAGACTGATTTTTAAAAATACATGTTGGGTACCTTTTCTGTGTATATACCAGGTGGGACTGTGTCTGCGTCTGGTTGACTTCCGCAGTAGCCAGACTTCAATCTTAACTGGCTCCAACAGCAGACCCTCACTACCTGCTCACCCTTTACTTGGTAATCCTCCATGTTTTTGCTCAGAGGATTGTGCCCTGCCTGTGGTGTTTACCTTCCTGGTACTTCTTGGGCTACACAAACTTCCTGTGCCTCGATGGCCCTGCAGCCTACCTCCTTTTGTCTGCTTTCTCTCTTTTCTGGAGTAAAGGCTACCTGGTGTCCTTCTTCCTCTCCCAGGGACTGGCACATCTGAGTTGAGCTTAGGTCCTGTTGACTCTTGCTTGTCTTTCACATATCCCACAGAGTGCCGGCCCCACCCCCTTCTCTCTTCATAGCTACTGTGGCTTCTTCATGCACCTGTAGAAGGCAAGAATGGTGCCAGACAGGGCTTGGGCTTGTTTTGTTTTTGAAACATTGTCTCACTTTGTAAACCTGGCTGTTCTGGAACTCACTATGTAGATTAAGCTGGCCTTGAACTCAGAGGTCTGTCTGCCTGTGCCTCCTAAATGCTGTGTTTAAAGGTGTGTGTCACATTTACGGGAGGTGGGGGCGGGGCTCAGTCTGCACTCAGATGTGATGGCCACGTTACTAGATTAGCCTCTGCCTCCCCCTAGTGGCAGGAGTACTGTTTATGCTCACTACTGTTTTTCCTTGGCGCATGGTGGTCAATAAATGTTCCTTTAAAAGCTTAGTTGCTGAATGACAGTACCAGTGATAGTTGTGGTAGTACTTGTGTTCTCAGTGTCCCTCAGAACCTAGTTTGGAGATCTCTTCAGAAGTAACTTCCCTGCAGGGAGCCGCATCAGTGCTTGAAATGCTGGGGTCCATGTGGTAGCACATAATGAGGTATCAGGCTAGAGGAAGCAGAACTTCAAAGGGGCCCAGGATAACAAAATGGCGAGGATGTGACCTCCTGGATCAAATCATTACCAGACTGAGCCTCCGGTCCTCCAGTAAGCTGCACAGAGGAGAACATTCAGTATCAGCCTGAGCGGCTTGCTTGGGCCATTACCACTAGGGCCTCTCTAGAGAATGGATCTGAACCCCATTTCTGAGTGTCCTCCACTCCCCACATCTCCATGAGTAGGGACTCTTTAGGTGCTCGCTCACTCTGCCCTACGTGGATCCTGTGCTGCTTGAGTCCAACAGTACCAAACCACGCCCACTCGTTCCAGCCCAGGGCAAACAGGCACGCGCAGTCTTTGCCCGTTGCTCTGGTCACAGCCCCACCCACCCAGACTCGTTGTCCTGGAGAGGGACTCGCACAGATCCTGCAGTTGCTGGCCAACTGGGTCTGGTGAGTGGCGATCTTCAGGGTGAGGCCCACAGAGTCCTGTCTCATCTTGCCTCTCACTCAAGGGGTCCAGAATCACCAGAATGTCAAATGAGCCGAGTGCTACGGGGACCTCACCTAGGACACCACGTCCCGGGGCCCAAAAATCATCCGGTGCGGTAACCAAGAAGGGGGACCGGGCTGCTAAAGAGAAGGCAGCAACTGCCCTGCCTCCAGTGGGTGAGGAGGAGCCAAAAAATCCCGGTATGTTGGCAGGGCTGAGGCTGGGTTGATCAGCCCCAGAACTTTGCTTTATTATTATTAATAAATTAAATCTGGTCTGGAACTTGCTAGGCTGGTCCAGAACTCAGAATTTTATCTCTGCTGAGACTAAAGGTGGTCTCCTCAGGAGTTGGCCTTAAAGAATACATATTTCCTGGGGATGCTGGCATACCCCATGAGATGTGATAAGATATGCCAAAGAGGACTAGTGGGGTGGGAAGATCCCATGATGCTGTAGGAGGGGCTCTTGAGCAGAGCTCTAGAGATACTCATTTAGCCAACAGTTACTTTCTGAGTATCTGCCCTGTGGCCATGGACACAGTTCTGCTTTGACATATTTAAAGAAAACTATTAAAGTTAGATGAATAGGACCATGACTTTTCTTGTAGAAAGTGACAGAACCTAATTTTCACCAATTAAGTGCAAAAAGAAATTTGTCAGAGGGTGTCTTGATACAAATTTGATGCTTTTGTTAGCAAAGAGGGTCAGGACCCTGCTGTCCCTGAAATGGAGATAAAACAACCTGGGAAAAGATTGCAAGGGTCCACCCATTGCCAGGTGTTATTGTCCCGTCCATGCTAGTGGCCGGGACAAGCAGATTATGAACTGGAGAAAAAGCATCTCCCATAGGGAAGGCAAGATAGCGCTGAATCCCCCGGGCATATAAATGGTGGATACTTGTAACCGCAGCACTTGGAATGCTGAGATAGCACTGAGTCCCCCGGGCATATAAATGGTGGATACTTGTAACCGCAGCACTTGGAATGCTGAGATAGCAGGCACTTGGGTTCCTTATAAAACGTGGGCTGCACACAAAGCAAGACTGTGTTTCAAGGAAGTAAAAGAGAACAAGAAACACTGGCAGTGCATGGAGAAGCAAGGGGGAGGAGAGAGGGGCAGCAGTACGATGAGCCGTGACAGAGGAGCTCAGTTCAGGAACAGTGATAGTTGGCACGGGAGTGGAGGTGCAAGAGGGTGGGTCAGGCTCCTGAGAGGCAGAAGTGAGTTGGTGAAGAACTGGGGAGAGAGAGAGAGAGAGAGAGAGAGAGAGAGAGAGAGAGAGAGAGAGAAGTGAGGGACCCAACGCAACTGAGGACCAGGTTTCTAGCCCGAGATGCTAGCTGGATTGAGATGGAATTCATGGGAAGAAAGCTGGAAGGAGCATGCGAGGGTGGACCTTCAGGAGTGAGGCTCCACAGCAGGAATGAAGGGTGGCAGGGTGAAATGGCTTTGGGGGCTGCTTTGGTGCTGGGATGTTCAAACCCGAGACTCCCAAAGACGGGTCAGAAGTCTGCCTGAAGAGGTGCAAAGGAAGCCTATGCAGCTTTGGCAAGTGCAGGGGAGAACTCGAGTGACCAGCATACAGGGGCCCTGGGCAAGGGCAATGTGGAGAGCAGACATGAGTCTCACATGAGGTAGAGATGCCTGCTATGTGTGTAGATTTAGAGGAAACTCCATCTGATGGCCCATTTCTCAAACTCGGGAGTGGGGTCACTTAGCATTGGTGTGGGAGTGGAGGAGGACAGAGTAAGTTCCTTTGAAATACTACCCATAGGGAACAGAACTGTGAGAGCCTGGGCCAGCCAGGAGGTGCTTTCATGCTTCTCAGGCGATTTCTACGGATGATAAAGTTTGAGGGACTCACTCTTGAGAGGTGAGTGATGCCAAGAAGGATGAGGGGCATATCTAATAGAAGAGAGGCAGCCTGAGCATGCATAGGGCTATGCAGGGGCCACCCCCAACTTCTCCCGGTTTTCTACCCTTACCTAGGTAAACTGGGCTAACTGGCTGAGCATTTCCTATGATAGCTGGGCGCAGGGGCAAAGCTCCTCTCACCTTTGCCTCAAAGAGCTTTGTGTGTCATGCAGGCTCTGGGTAAGCTGGGACCAGGCTCCCTACTGCACAGACATAGAAGGCCAGGCACAACCGACATTGTTCTCTGCTGGTGGCCTGGCTGCTGCTGTGGGGTTGTTGGTTTGGAGGAACCTGGGCTACCACGGGGAGAACTGAAAAGAGCAAGGGTCTCTTGGGGTTGCCAGACACCAAGTTTGCAGAGCCTCAAGATAGTAGGTGGTGGGCAAGGCTGAAGGAACAGAACTGATCAAGGCAATGAGGATTTTCAATACTTACAAACTCTGGGAGACTGACTAGTAAATACTATATAAAAAGTGTTAACAGGTCAGCAGCTCTGCTGGGTAGGCCTTGTCCCCTCTGTGAGCTCTTGCTTTCCTCCAATGTTTTCAGCATAGGTCTTAGCAAGGTAGGTTCCACCTTGGAATTGCTGTGAGTGTGGAGGTTCCCACGCTGAATGCGGGGCTCACTCTGCTGCCACCCCTGCAGAGGAATACCAGTGCTCCGGGATCCTGGAGACAGACTTCGCCGAGCTCTGCGCACGGTCAGGCTACACGGACTTTCCCAAAGTTGTCACCCGGCCACGGCCCCATCAGAACTTTGTCCCTTCTGCCTCCATGTCAGAAAAACCCACCCAAGGTGAGCCATAGCCCACCCAGCTCATTCACTGGTGGGGCGCGCTGCAGCTGTGGTGCCCTTACACTGCACCGTTTTCTAGAGGACCAGCGGCTATCAGCATCCTGTAGCCAGAACAGCATGGAGAGCAAATACGTGTTCTTTCGGCCGACCATTCAGGTGGAGATGGAGCCGGAGGACAGCAAGGCAGTGAAAGAGGTCTACATCCGGGGTGAGTGCTGCCCTCTGTGCTCCTCTCTGCCTCTGCCACTCCCTCCAGCTCTACCCCGCCCCGCCCCTGCCACTCCCCTCCAGTTCTACCCCCCCACCGGCTCTGCCCGCCCCTCAAACTCTACCCCGCCCTCACTGCCACTCCCCTCCAGCTCTACCACGCCCCCCACTGGCTCACAACAGTTCCCATCAAGCCCCTCCCAGGCCTGAGATACCTTTGGCCTTTCTTCAGGTTGGAAAGTTGAGGATCGGATTCTGGGTATCCTCTCCAAATGTCTGCCCTCCCTCAGCCAGCTGCAAGCCATCAAGTGAGTGGCGCTGTGGGGGGTCAGCCTCTGGCCAGCTGGGGAGGATGGAGTCCAGCTGTTTCTGTTTCTAACACCAGCTTGTGGAAGGTGGGGCTGACGGATAAGACCCTGACCACGTTCATCGCCCTTTTGCCTCTCTGTTCCTCCACACTCAGGTCAGTTGTGGTCAGGCCCCGGTGCCTAAGGGGCCTGCCTGGGGTGGACGAGGGGGAAGTGGATACCTACAGAGTTAGCAAGTCTGTCGGGTGGGATTCCCACCTGAGACCATTGTTTTAGTCTAGGTGGCATCCACAGAGCCCTTTGATGTCCCAACTTCCCCATGAGCCCCACCCTTCTTAGAGATCATCTCCATGACTCAGTACAGTGAGCAGGAGGAGCCAGGAACAGATGCTGCTTTGCATATATGGGGATGTGGATGTGGAGGAATAGCTCATGCAATTCCTCATGAGCCTTCTAGGAATCACAGGGTAGATGGGTAGAATGCAGAGCCAGGCTTAAGATAGCCTACAATTAGTTTGTTGCTTAGCTGTCTGCCCCTTTCCAGGTTCCTACAGGACCCTAGAGTTAACATTCTTGCTTCACAAATACCCCTCAGTGCTATCCATGTGGGCTTTCCTTCTGCGAATTAGACAGATTCTGGAATTTTAGCCTGGGGAATATTTTAGTCATTGGGGGATATACTTAGACTGTTTTCTAGATGCTCTCAAAGAACCATACTTGCACTGTTCCCCTCCGCCTTGCATGGCCTCTCTGGTGATTCCTCAGATCCCTCTCACTCTCAGGAAGGTATCTCTGGAAGGGAACCCACTACCGGAGCAGTCCTATTACAAGCTCATGGGCCTGGACAGCACGTGAGACTCCTTTACTTCACTTTCCTTTCTTGGTCTATCCCCCATTTGAAGTTATCTTCAGTCCTCACCTTTCCCTGTCTCCAGGCACCTTTAATTCCTGCCCCTCCACCTATAGATCAGACAGAACCAAGCCCAAGAACACTGGTTCTCCCTCTCCCTGTCCCAGGATTGCTCACTTGTCTCTGAGGAATAACAACATCGATGACCATGGGGCACAGCTCCTAGGCCAGGCACTGTCCACACTGCACAACAGCAACCGGACCCTTGTTTCACTGAATCTGGGATTCAACCACATCGGAGACGAGGGTGCAGGCTACATTGCGGATGTGTGTACTGTTGGCAAGATGGACTGGGGACGCTAACTCGCCCTTGGCTTACAGGACTCTCTGTTCTCCAGGGCCTGAGGCTGAATCGCTCTCTCCTCTGGTTGTCCCTGGCACACAATCGTATTCAAGACAAGGGAGCACTGAAGCTGGCCGAGGTGGGTTTTTGCATGCTGGGCAGGGCAAGGAGGGGGGATCTGATGCAGGTGTCTGATGCAGGGAGCTGGACTTGCCTCAGGTCCTGCGCCCCTTTGAGCTGACCCACAGGGAGGTGGTGGAGCGGAGGCGCCTGCTGCTGGAGAAAGGATCGCAGGAGCGGTCACGATCGGTGAGGAGCTGCCTGGTCCTAGGAAGGCTGCTTTTCTGCCCGCTGCCCATAACTCAAATTCCCTCCAGCCTCTTGCCTTTCTGGATTCTGGAGACCCAGTCTCTATCAAACCCAACTTGGTGCTCTAACTACACTGCCACTCTAACCGTTAGAGTAGTTAAGAGAAAAGATGCTATCAGACCACCTGGGCTTGAAATCCTCCCCACATTATCAATGCTTAACCTCCAAGTCTCAGTTGCCTCAACTTACTTTCTTCACAGAGTTGAAATGATTAAATGAGTTACTACAAAGCATTTGATATACTGCCCTAGAACTTAGCTCAACAAAAGCTGCTGGCTGGGCACAATGCAAACCTTGTCAGATAGGAGACAGATGAAAGATGAGTTCAAGGACAGCCAGAGCCACAGAGGGAGACCCTGACTCAATAAAGCCAAGGTCTAGAGGTATAGTACAGTACATAAAGTTCTTGCCTGCCACACACAGGTGCTCGGTTTGATCCCTACCACTGCAACAAATTACCATCATCATCATCAACAATAAAACAAATTCAAAGTGAGCTATTTTCCCTCCTGTGATGAAAACCTGAGCCTCCAGCTCATGCTCATCCGTTTCTGGCTCCTTGACAACAGCAACTCTGTCCCAGACCAATTGACAGGCAGGGAGGTGGGGAAGGAAAGAACCTAGTTATTTCCTCTGTCCCATACCAACTGACAGGCAGGGAGGTGGGGAAGGGAAAGAACCTAGTTATTTCCTCTGTCCCATACCAACTGACAGGCAGGGAGGTGGGGAAGGGAAAGAACCTAGTTATTTCCTCTGTACCCTCCCAATTTTGAGTGCAGCCTTCCTCCTCCCGACATGGAGACTCCAAAACGGAGCGTGAGAAGTCTCAGACGATGGGGATCAGCAGTGCTGCTTTGGCGGACAAGCCAGAAAAGATGCAGACAGTGAAAACACCTAAGGGCCTGGGCAAGAAAAAGGAGAAGTCAGGGGTAGGTGTGCTGGGTGAAAGGGAACCTTGGGCCTTGAATAGGCAGGGGAGGAGCTTCTATGGTATATAGGGCAGGCAAATGGATTGGGCTTTTGAAGATGTCTCTAGGCTCAACCTTCCTATTCTCTCCCTCTGGGCAACAGGGCATCCATTATGTCTTCTTACATCCTTCACAGGAAGTTGTAAAGAAGGAAGAGAAGTCGGGCCCCGGGCAGTCACCCACACAAGGAACCCCTAAGAAAGAAGATGCCACGAAGGCAAGCAAGGGGAGTAAGTGTGAGCACCTTTCTATGGGGAGCTTCCCACATGAAGAGCCTTGGACAGCATGCAGGAGCCTGGCTTTGGCCCGGCTGTCTGCCAGGAGCACGTCTCCCCTTGGGCCTTGTTTATTCCTCACCCTGAAATGATGAGTGACCCACTACCCTCTCAGGACTAGACCTATGGCTGTCCATAGAGGGGAGCTCACTGCAGATGTTCCTATGTTCCCCTCACCCAAGTCTCAGAGTTTGAGGACTCTGCCTTTCCAAGATCCTTTCTCTGGGGAGTTTGGGTGGTGTCAGGGGGTCTGCTCTGTGCATTCTGGCTCCTCTTCTGGTCCCAGAGGTCACCATCCCCGAGCAGAAGATGACCAAGGGAAAAGGGCCCAAGACGGGGAGCAAAGAGAAGCGCAGCATCCTCCTGGAGTCCGAGGTACGTGCATCCGCGGTTTTCACTACTTTGGCAGTGGTCTCTGTAAGCTCACTCCAGCCTACATGGGATCCTATCTGACCTGCACTTACTGTGGAGATGACACAACTCCTCATTTCCCTTCCCATGCGGCAGACAGGCCCCTTTACCTCGGCATCTAGGAGGAACCCCAGTTTGGATCTGCTGTACACCTAGAGGTCTTCAGCTCACCACCTGCCCCTCCAACACTGCACAGGAACAAAGGTTGCTTTGCCCCACAGGTGCTAAACAGGCACTTTGTCACCACACTGCCCCAGGCAGGATCAGTAGCCCTAGGGAAGCCTTCTTTGGGCCATCTACTTCCTGGCTCCCAGTTCCTCCAGTCCTCCTTCCTGTCCTCTCCATTCTCTCCATGTGGAGACCCCACAACCCTGTCTGTTCTTTCCCTGGAAGGGAAAGCCCTGTCCTTTTAGGAGTCTTTCCCAGCATCCAAGACAACTTCTGGCGGAGGATGGCTTTCTTTGCCTTGGGCAAACTGCTCCTTCTCACCAGGACCATCAGCTTCCCAATGCTCTTTAATGGAAGGATTACAAATGCTTATTAGAACCTCGGTCCCTTATGAACTCAGGATTCCAGGGCCATTACACATACCATGTTCCTTGCTTGGGGAGCCCACCCTCTTCATTTGAATGTCTGTACACATTCAACTTTCACTTCCAGGCTACCTCTTTTAAGGTCTATCACATAGTTCTCTGCTCTTAAGGGCCCAGCCACACTACATTCTTGTTTAATCCTCTGGTTCCCCACACCAAGGAACTTTTTTGAGGGTATGGGCTTATTTATCTTTGTTTCTCCAGCACCTAGGACACAGCCTGAATTATAACCAGCACTCAAAACCTGTATGTTGAATGAATGAATGAGTGGCCGGTTGACCAGCTCCCCTCTCCTCTGCTGCAATTATTCTGCTTTAGCAGCTGGTTGTTGAAGCTACAGAGATGGTCAACCCTCTCCTGGAGCCTGTGGAGCACCGAGATGGGAAAGTTTTCATGCCTGGGAACAAGGTCCTTTTGCACCTCAACCTCCTCCGTATGTTTGCAAGCCTTACCTGTCCTGACCACGCGACTACCCAGGCTCCATTTTGCTAAGGGGTGCCACCAAAGCTCTATGGGGTGTATCTGAGTATTATTTTGTCAGACCCATGTGGCTGGAGTTGAGAGGAAGTGCTAGGTCAGGGAGGGCATGAGTGAGACAGCTAGGTGGGGAGACGACTCACAGGGGAAAGGGGAAGTGGGGGGAAGGTGTGAAGTAGAAAATATAGGGTAGAGGGCTAGTTAAAAAGTCAGTCCTGCCTAGTGAACTTGGGGATGGGGAGTCAGGCTGCCAGGTGTGATACCAGGTACCACTGTCTGTGTCTTCTCTCAGGAAACCGAATTACAGAGGTGGGGTTGGAAGGTTTCCTTACTGCTGTGCAATACCAGGTTCAGTTCTCCAAGCCCAAGACTTCATCCAAGGGTCCCTTGGGGCTGCTGTGGCTATCCCTGGCGGTGAGTTCCTGGCCCATTTCCAGAAGGTTTCATTGTCCCGATTCTTTGTTTTCTGCTGTCACCAATGGCATGACTGCCCTCTCCTGCTCACCAGTCCTAATACTGTACAGGGCACTGTTTTCTCCTGAAGACAAATCTTCATTCCTGCTAATGTTCCCTTTTTTTTTTTCCCTTTCAGAAAAACTGCTTTGACCCACAGTGTCCAACATACACCATGATTCAGGAACTGATGCTGCCAAGGGACCCTGTGAAGGCCAAGGTCAGGGAGGAGGAGGCCACAGCTACCTAGGCTTCCCATGGGAGACACCTTGGACCAGTAACAGCCTATTGCTGTGCTATTCTTTGAAAATCACTTCAGAACTGTTGGGAACATTTGGGCTCCCGAGTCTGTTCATATTGCCATGGCAGAGTGGTGGCCTGAATCACACGATATCTGTTGGGGGGATGAACTGAGCTCCTGGCTACAAAGCCGGGGCCCTTGTTCCACCTCCCGAGTGTCCCATGCTTTGCAGCTGAGGGTAGGTTATGAGAGCCGTGTTCCTTTGGGTGAAGTAACCAGCAGCATCCCCTAGCCCATCTCCGCCAGCATGCACACAGCTGATGATGGAGTCAGCACAACGGATGAAGGGAACAAGCTGGGAACTAGGACCCACCCCCAGCACTCCAACCCATGTGTCTGCCTGGCTAGTGAGACAAATGCACTCTGGAGAGGGTATTGTAGCCATATTTGCATAGCAAAGGCCAGACATTAGACATGGCAGGTCAGCAACTTGAAATCATGGACATCCAGAGTTGGGACTGCCAGGCTGCCTCTAAATTTTGGAGAGCCCATGCTAACCTATAGGGAATCTCCAACCGAGGTAAAGAGGACATCTCTTTCATCTCCTGGCCTCTGCCTGCCAACCTGCTGCTTCAGCACTGGCTGCTGAGTGGCTCCAGGGACATCTATCTCCCATTGCTCTGAGTCCCAGCACTGATCATCCATGATGGCTTCTCCAGTTACACCTGCCAGGTCCTCTACAGCTCTGGCTAGTCCTGACATATGGGAAGGAGAGGGATGAGGGAAGTGAGGTGACCCCTCTTCATGCTTTGCAGCTGAGGGTAGGTTATGAGAGCCCTGTTCCTTTGGGTGAAGTAACCACAATGTCTTTTTTTGGGCCAAGGTCATTTGTCCAACCTCTTTTGAGAAGGCACACACCTGGAACTTTGGGAGAGGTGACCTGGTGTGGGATGCTGTGGCAGGGGCTCTTCTGGCTCCCTCTACCCATTCTTGACCAGTCACAACCAACATACCCTATATCAGTCTAAGAATCATACAGCCACAATGGAAGAATATTTAACCTTTCTTTAAAAAAACTTAACCATGAAAGGAAGAAAATAAGAGTATACATTATTTTAACAGCAAAACAGTCATTTCCATATCCATATTTTATATATTATATATATTTATATATATGTATATATACACCTAGCACAGTGTGTATGTTCATCAGTGGGGAGTGGAGTGGGAGCATGGCAATGAGCCAATGTTGCTGTGGCCCCCGGGGAAGGGTTCTGAATTAACTCGAACTCTGCTTTCTTAGGGTCTGTTTTGAGCTCCTTATCGTACCTGCTGTATCTGTTTCTATGGGGCAAATAGGGAAGGGGTGAGCATGAGTGAGGCAAGATGCTCCCCACAGGCTCATCTCCTGACAACGGAAGGTCCTGGAGCTTAACAGTGCTGGAAGAACTCCCAGCCTGTGGAACACAGACAGTCACCACCCTGAGCTGGGCTGCTGACTGGCTCTCATCTTACCGGTCTCTGACGGGTTGAGCATGCCAGGGACAGAAAAAAGGCTAAGTTATTTACAATGGCAAAAAAATGAACATACAATAGACATATTTATAGGACACTAAAGGGACAGAGAGAGCCAGGCACCCAGCTGTCTCGGGCCTAGGAAGAAGGGGAGGAAAAAAGTGCATTTACACATAAGCCTTTTCCTTTGACTTGTACACCTGAGGGTACTGTGCACACAGTACACCCCACATATGCTATGTACCTATGTGGAGTGAAGGGGCAGACCACTGTAGGAGGTCTACTGCTGTGATCAGCATGCTTAGGAGATGAAATCCATGGAGATTTGGCTAATAGGAAGAGACAATGAAACTGGACTCTGTCCAATGTGAACAGATCAAGCCACATGCAGGTCTCTCCTTGGGCCTCTGGCATCTGTCAAGGGGAGGCTTGGGTCTCCTAGTGTTGTGCTCTGGCTCAGGCCAGACTCTGGTAGAATGGAGAAGCCGAGGCTCTGGTTGTCTGGATGGCTATGGTCCTGGTGATGCAGCTGTGTCTGTGGCACTGTCTTCCAGGGGGGTGTCGGAGCCTGTGGGAGGATGGTGAGGGTTGAGAAGCTGGCTAGGTTTGTAATGTTCTGTTTCAAGTCCCAGGCTTAACTCTTCAGCACCAGCTGTTGGTGACAAAGCTTTCTTCTCCAGAAACTCTCCTTATTTTTATTAAAACACCTCTGCTGGTGTGTGTGGAGTGTGTATGGAGTGTGTGTAGGTCAGCTCTGCAGGAGTCAGTTCTCTCCTTCCATTGTGAGTCTTGGGGCTTGAACTCAGATGGTCAGGTTTGGTAGCAAATGCCTTTAAACACTGAGCCATCTTGTCAGTCCAACCCTTGTTTCTTGTGGGACTTCAGCAGGTCTATGAGTACCTCACTTCTGTCTGGCTTCCAAAACCGGGACAGGTAAGTGTTTTAACTTTGAGTCAAGCCATAGCAGTGGCCTTCCCTCGAAATCCAGGTTTGAGCCATTAAGAACCTGCAGCAGAGGTAAAATCTGGACCTCCTGGTACATGACCTCCTAAACAAGAACACTTGCTTTTAGAATGGAAGAACTCTTCCAGAGGACCCAGGTTCAATTCCCATCACCTATATATGGCAGCTCATAACCATCTGTAACTCTAATTTCACAGTATACAAGTTGACTCTGGCCCCCTTAGGCATTGCATGTATGTGGTATACAGATTTAGATGCAGACAAAGCATCCATATACACAAAGGATTTTAAAATGAGGGTTCACAATTCCTGACTTCAAACTCTACTATAGAACTACAGTACAGAAAACAGCCTGGTATTGGCATAAAGACAGGAGAACTGGGCTCACGCCTTTAATCCCCAGCACTCGGGAGGCAGAGGCAGGTGGATTTCTGAGTTCGAGACCAGCCTGGTCTACAAGAGCTAGTTCCAGGTCAGGCTTCAAAGCTACAGAGAAACCCTGTTTCGAAAAAAAACAGAAACCAAAAAACAAACAAAAAGGACAGGAGGACCAATGGAACCAAACTGAAGACCCAGATATCAATCTGCACACCTATGAACATCTGATTTTTGACAAAGAAGTAAAAAATATCAAATGGAAAAAAGAAAGCATATTCAACAAATGGTGCTGGCATAACTGAATACCAACACGTAGAAGAATGAAAATAGACCCGTATCTATCACCATGCACAAAACTCAAGTCCAAATGGATCAAAGAGCTCAACATAAAGCCAGTCACACTGAACCTTACAGAAGAGAAAGTGGGAAGTAAATTGAACACACTGGCACAGGGAACCACTTCCTAAATAGAACCCCAGCAGCACAGACACTGAGAGAAACAATAAATGGGACCTCTTGAAACCAAGAAGCTTCTGTAAAGCAAATGACATGGTCAGCAAGACAAAATGACAGCCTACAGAATGGGAAAAGACCTTCACTAACCCCACATCAGACCTAGGTCTGATCTCCAAAATATACAAAGAACTCAAGAAATTGGAAACCAAAAGATCACATAATCCAAAAAAAAAATGGGGTACAGACCTAAACAGAGAACTCTCAACAGACGAATCTAAAATGGCTGAAAGACACTTAAGGAAATGCTCAACATCCTTAGCTATCAGAGAAATGCAAATCAAAACAACTTCGAGATTTCATTTTACACCTGTAAGAATGACCAAGAGCAAAAAACATTGATGACAACTTATGCTGGAGAGGATGTGGGGTAAAGGGAACACTCTGTACTGCTGGTGGGAGTGCAAGCTGGTACAACTCCTTTGGATGTCAGTGTGGCAATTTCTCAGAAAATAAGGAAACAACCTACCTCAAGACCCAGCAATACCACTTTTGGATGCTCAATCGTGCCACAAGGACATGTGCTCAACTATGTTCATAGCAGCTTTGTTTGTCATAGCCAGAACCTGGAAACAACCTAAATGCCCCTCAACCAAAGAATAAGGAAAATGTGGTACATTTACACAATGGAGTACTACACAGCAGAAAAAAAATTGACATCCTGAAATTTGCAGGCAAATGGATGGTTCTAGAAAACATATTGAGTGAGGTAACGCAGACCCAGAAAGACAAACATCATATGTACTCATAAGTGGTATTTAGATATAAAACAAAAACCAGCCTATAATTCATAATCCCAGAGAAACTAGACAACAAAGAGGAGCATAAGAGAGACATACACGGATCTAATCTACATTGGGAAGTAGAAAAAGACAAGATCTCCTGAGTAAATTGGGAGCAAGTGGATCATGGGAGAAGGTAGAAGGGAAGGGAAGAGGTAAGGAGGGGAGCAGAGAATAAAAAAAAAAAGAGGGTTCTGTACTGGTCTCTATTTGGAGGGAGCCCTTAGATAGTTCAATGGATGGGCACTGCCTCGCAAGCATGAGCACTGGAGTTTGGATCCCCAGAATCGAGGTAAACCTGGATGTGGGAGTGCATGAGCCTGGCTAAGCCAGCAGTGAACACAGACCTTGTCTCAGGGTGGAAGGCAAGAACAGACAACTGAAGTTCTCTGACACACGTTCTACCCTTTTTCTCACTATGTAGTCCTGGCTGGTCAGGAACTGTAGTCTAGGCTGACCTTGAACTCACAGAAATTCGGCTGCCTCTGTTTCCTGGCAAAGATCCCTTTCTGAAGAAGCTGAGGGAATGTGTTGGTCACACCTCAAGGGAAAAGAGTCATGGGCCCACCCCGACCACTTGGTTATGCTCACTCAGAGGTTATAGCATTCCCTCATGGTGGCAATGCAGGAACTGGCTTTACTCACCTTCCTCAGGGCAGAACCCCTGTTCCGGACTGGTTTGGGAGTCAGAGGCCAGAGCTTCCTTGGTTGGAGGAGAGAGAGAGTGATCTGTCCATCTGGCTGCCTCTGTGTGAAAACTGCCCACAGGAGTGGTCCCCCCAGACGACTCTCCTCCAAGGGACTTGAGAAGCTCTCTGTGGGCCAGTTCCATGTCCTAGAAGAGTTGTAGGAGGAACGTTTGAGTCCCAGGGCTAAGGCTCAGAGGGTGTGGCAGGGTGAGCTGAAGGTGAAGGTGGCCTAGGACTCCAGTGAAGATACATACTTCCTGAATTGGGGATGTAGCCTAATGGTAGAATGTTCGTCTAGCATGTATGAAGCCCTAGGCTCAATTCCATATACAGACATACATATATATGTGAATATATCTATACACATAAACATTTACTTATCCAAATGTATAACTGTCCTGTCATGTTCCTTACCTTGAGTCTGTGGAGCTTGATGGTGAGCTGCTCGATGGTGTGAAAGATCACACCCACATCCCTGAGGGCCAGACTGGGGGGAGAGCAGCTGGAACACATTTGATCCCCAATGCCTCCCCTCTGGTGCTGAGGCTCTGTTGGCCATGTAGGGAGGCTGTGAGGCTGTAAGGGACTTAGGGGTGTCCTGGTACACTCAGTGTTGGAGTCCAGAGGTCCTGATGGCATGCTGACATAAAAACAGTTCCCTATACCGAGGGCAAGAGAAAGAAATTAGTCAAGCAGAGATGTCGAAGTCACTCTCCCACTCCCTCAGAGTACACACAGGCCCATGCTGCCTACCAGGCTCCCACAGGCCCTTTTCCCTTTAGATGGGAACTGTTCCCCACCTGCCAGGGGAAAATGCTCAGTGATGAGAAGGAAGAAGGGGCAAGATGGAGGTGTTACGCTGAGGGAGAAAGAGAGTGGCTCCCATTCATGGAAGGAAGGGGTAAGAGGTTTTAGGCAGCAGTATTTCAGTGAGCTCAGTTCACATTCTACTGATGCATGTCAACACTGCCCTACATACCACCATCCCCTAGAAACATCAACTGATTGGCAGAGAACCCACCGTGGAGAAACACAAAGGTTTGTAAAGCCATGCAAACCTTTTCTCACCACAGTACTAGAGTAGTGGGCAGGATTGGGAAGCGGTTGCTCAGGATGTCAGGTTAAATACACTGGAGTATGGGCACTGGCCAGACTTTCTTGCTTTCTTCCAGACCTGAGCATAGGCTGAAAGCTCTGAAATGGGCCTCTACATCTCCCAGCGAATGGTTTTTCAAAGCTGGAGGTACAGGTTTCCTTGTTGTCTTTGGGCTCATGTGCTACTTCCCAACCATCTCAGACAGCTCAGGGAGCACATAGGATGTTTGTGGGTAAAAGAACTCTGACAGCCAAGGCCCAATTTTATCCCATGGGACCCCTGCTACAGCCTGGCCTGGCTTTGGCTCCAAGAAGAAGTTGATTACCCGTAGCCTGTGCTCCGCCTTCCACTTCAGATAGCTCAGATTCTGACTGGCCACTCTCTGGTAGTGCAGGGATAACTTTGCTGCCCGCCACCTTGGCTGCACCGACACCACCACCAGGGAGAGGAGAGACTGAGAGATAAGACAAGGGGAAAGGAGGGAGAGAGAGCATGAAGGAGAGGGAGAAAGAAGTGGACATGTTGGGGATAACAAGAATAAAGGAAGAAAAGAACAAGGTGAGTACAAGATCATAAATGGTCATGTCCCAGGAGCTGAAGAG